ACTGACTGCTGGCTTGCGGTCGAGTATGCCTCGTCCAGCTGGCCAAGCTTTCGAGAGCTGGTCGAGGCGGGAGTGGGCAAAGCCCTGCCTCGGCCTGAAGAGCGAGCAGACGACGAGGGTGTCCGCTCCAGCTCCTTAGAGGAGGTGGTCTGCGACGGACCCTCTTTAAGGACTGAGGGTGGTGCGAGAGGCACCACCCCTGATGCCTTTGGAGGGGATACCTCCTTTGGTGCCATGGTGTCCATTGCCTCCTTTAAGAGAGGCGCGGCAGCACCATTCAGGCACCGTGAACCTTTTGGCTCCAACGACAAACGTGGTCGTGGAGCCGACCTTGGGGGGGCAGGGGGTGTCGGCGCTGCTGCCAGGTCTTTGGGACAGACCTGGGTTCCCACCGAGGTTTTCGGTGACACGCCCCCTGTGCGTGTTACCGTAGCAAAGGATCCTTTCTGTAGAAAAGAAAGTCGCTTCCTGGCCTCAGGAAACGAGATGTTTTCTTTTACTTTGAGGGTAATTACTTCCTTCTCTTCTTTCCATTTTTTACAAGAACGGGAGTAAGCGGCGTGTGGTTCGCCGCAGTTGACGCAGTGTGGTGGGTTTGCGCAGTTGTCTGACGGGTGATCGTTCTGACCGCACTTGGCGCACGTGGTCTTGCCCCTGCAGCTCTGGGCACTATGGCCGAACCTCTGGCAATGGAAACATCTCCTGGGGTTCGGCACATATGGCCGTACTCTACAGTTCAAGTACCCAGCCTTGATTGACTCGGGAACTTTGCTCAACTCGAAAGTCAAAATAACATGTTTTGTTTTGATCTCTTGCCCCTCTCGACGAAGGGAGATTCGCTTTGCAGCGACAACTCCTTGGTCACTGAGGCCATTTACGAGTTCATCTTCTGTACTTTCGAGGAGGTCATCTTCAGAAATCACACCTTTTACTGTGTTCAATGTACGGTGGGGAGTGACTGTCACTTTATAATCAGAAACTGAATTTAGTGATAGGAGTGCTGTGCTCTGTTCACTGGTTTTAATTTCAACGAGCAGATCTCCGGATGTCATTTTTTTGGCAGAGAAGTTCTTTCCAACAATGGACTCAAGTGTTTTGGAAACAAGGAATGGTGACATTTTCGCCAAAGGTTTCTCACTCTCAGAGTGCATCACAAGGAATCTTGGAAATTTTTCTGCAGATCTAGTAGTATTAATCGCATGTACTTCGGTGCGGCCCCTTTTGGGGGGCCGATCAAGAAAGGTTTTTTGTTTAGTACCCATAGAGATGGGAGAGAATTTCGGTGCCCCGGGTGCACCACCCACCACGGAGCCCAACACGGGGGTAGGCAATGTGCCATAACAAATATGGCTTTGCTGACAACATTACACTACCAGTGCTGCCCAGGCACTATAACCTAGTGTGGATCCGGACAAGGGGTCTATCGCCACCCAAGGTTAGCCCTTGCCGCCAAAGAAGGTGAAAAGGAATAAAAGAAGAGCAGAGAAAAGAGAAAGATAAGAGGGGATAGTAGAAGATGTGGCGACTGACTGAATCATCCTGGTCGGGCCAAGCCAGGACACCCGTCTATAGGAAGCAGGGGCCAAAGTGGTGTGTTGCCTCGCCCGGGGGGCCCCGAAGGGTCCAAACCTACCCCGGGCTCAGCTCAACCACCAGGATGCCCTTTTCCCTGGACACGGGCTCGCCACGCACAGCCAGACGTGGGTGGGTCTTAGCCACTTTTACTCAGGGTCTGTGGTGTCGCCAAAGTGGCTGGGGTCCGTGGTGACGCTACTCACCAAGCACCTAGCACCTAAGGTGCAGGCGCCCCCTGCGGAGCTCGGGGTCCGTGGAGACGCCACTCTCCAAACACCTGCTTTCACAGGTGCCCCCTGCGGGGGCAACAAATGCTCTTTGAATGCCGTCTTTGTCCTTGCAGATGACGCCTTCATGGTCCAAAACGGTTATCTCTTTTGCCAGCGCAAAGCATCTTTCATCCGCCAGTGCTCGCTTTGTGGGCTGTTCGCCGAGCAAAAACTTCTCCGCCCTCGCCCGCACAACCGCACCACGATACCGATTATTTTGAAAACGTTGCAATTCACGCTTAACTACCTTTATCTCTTCAGCGTATCTACCAGGGCACTCGCTATCGTCTTTGAGAAGCGCGAGCAAGCACTGCTGCAAACCATTTTCTTCTTTCTTTGATACGTAGTTGGCGATGGACGACTTTTCTATAGCTAACAGTTTAACCTCCTCTTTAAATAATTCCCACTTCTCAGTGAAACTTAAGTATTTATTTTCGCCTAATTTATCTAAAATATTAATCACTCCATCATTAAAGCTTTTATCCTTGAGGAGGTTGACATTAAATTTCCAGAGACCCCAGCTAAATTTTCGTGACGATCTACTTTTTTTTCCAACCGTTACGCCTACGAGACAGTGATCGCTGAAAAACACAGGTTTGACAGAGTATGCCACTGTAATAGGGCCTAGTTCCGCGGACACATATATGCGATCTAATCGCGCATGCGATGACTGCTGAAAGTGGGTGAAACGAAGTTCCTCACGTTCGACGTGCATATCCGCAACGTCGGTCAACAAATACTCATCCAAAATATATCTTAACAAGGTACTACTACTATCGCTAGGCGATTTCGCTGATGCCCTATCTCGGACATTACATACACAATTAAAATCTCCTAAAAAAATCATATATTTTTCGCAATTAATATATTCTGTTATCTGACGAAAAAAAAGCTCTCTCTCACAGTTTCTGCTTGGGGCGTAAATACACAATACACGCCACTGCAAACCCCCCAGCAAAAAGTCACAAAAAATCAGGCGACCCCCACTATCTGTAGTGACCTTAAGGTCAGTAAGCGCAATACGCTTCGAAAGAAACAAAAAACATCCCGCGGATGTACCGACAGCATGGCTGACACACACTTCGTACGCACTTAAAAATCGTCTTAATGCGAGTGCAATTTGATCGTCCTCGTGCATTTTTGTTTCTTGGACGGCAAGGATATCGATATTTTCCTCGTTTAAAAGCCTTTGCACCTGGTATTGTTTTTTTCTAGAGTTAAACCCTCGCACATTCAATGTGGCGCAACGAAAGGGTTGGTAACGTTCAGGTGTCATTTAAGAAAAAAAGGCTTTTAAACGATCTTTTGCCAAAAGGAAAGGTTCACCCGTTTAAACCAGTTTTATAACTAAGCACATACGAAAGGGCCTGAGTGTCATTCACTCACAACGAGTCCTTGCGCTGGCGACCATCCGCGGGGATGCGGGGCTTGGGCGGTGCTCTTCGGTGCTTCTTGGGTCCCATGTGGTGCCAGGGCAGTTCGCCCCCGCCTTCGTCTTCGGGAGCGGTCTCGGCGAGAGCATCGTCCAGCTGCCGCTTGCCAGCCAGGATGGCTTCGGCATCCATGGCTTCCGTTGTTCTGCTGTCGTCTTCCTGGGGCTGCTGGTCGTCCCCGGCGTTGGCCCCGGACATTACCGGACTCTGCGTCGTCCGGGAGGAGGGCTGGGTGGTGCTAGCCGCATTTCTCCCAGACTCAGCGGTCGACGCTAGTGGTAGGCGTTGCACTCGGGTGGATGCCTCGACCTGAGTGGCCGGGCGGACGTCCGGGCTCGTGTCCTTGGGATCTGCGGTGGGGGGTGTGATTCCTCCGGCCGCGTCTTCCGCCTCCGCCTCGTCCATTTGCAGGTCGTTCGTATCGTCGTCCACCCGTTTTTGCGCTATGGTAGCGTAAGTGCGGACGCAGTCTGCACTCTCGTGGCCAAACCGGTGGCACTCCGTGCACCGAGGGACGTGGCAGTCTCTCCTGATGTGCCCCTTGCGTCGACAGCGGAGGCACAGAGGAGCTCGTCCGGGAACTAGCACGAGGACTTTGCACCCCTCGAGACGAATCTCATGAGGGATGTCATCCACCGTGACGCCGTCTCTCAGGGTCATCTGGACGACCCTCTTGTTGGTCTCGACGCCCTCGAAGCCTCTCTCGCGGAAGTGTTCCCGGCTGACGTCCGAGACCTTCCCGTAGCGCTCGAGTTCTCGACGTACCTGGCAACTGGACACGTCGTAAGGGACCCAGTGAAGCCGCAACTTGACCTCGGTGTTGGCGGGGTCAAGGACCAGGCACCGCCCACCTTTCACTCGCAGCTCCTTGGCGTCGAGTAGGCACTGCTTCGCTGCCAACGTGTGCATGCGAAGCATCCACACGTGGTTCATCTGGTGGGCACCCGCCGACGCCAACTCAGGAAGCACCTTCAAACGCAGAAGTTCCTCTCGAAAATCTTGAATGCGATACGGCCGGTTGCGCACGTCGCAATGTAAAAAAACAGAATTTTTAGCGATGTATCCGTTGGGCAGGGGTGGCAAAATAATCTTATAGTCAGCGGAGCCTTCAACATCAGATAAGCCACGGCCAGATACGGCCGCTGATACCGCTCCTTGGGAGCTCGTCATCGTGCGTCCGAACACTTCGGTGGTCGGCCACAGACTTCCACTATACTAACGAGGAGAGACGGGAATAGCTGGATGGGAACTCTACCGCAACCTGGACTTTTCAATAAAGGAAAAAAAAATGTGGGGGTAAAAAAAAAAAAAATTATGCTCCCCGTCGGGGAATCGAACCCCGGTCTCCCGCGTGACAGGCGGGGATACTGACCACTATACTAACGAGGAGAGACGGGAATAGCGGGACGGGAACTCTACCGCAACCTGGACTTTTCAATAAAGGAAAAAAAAATGTGGGGGTAAAAAAAAAAAAATTATGCTCCCCGTCGGGGAATCGAACCCCGGTCTCCCGCGTGACAGGCGGGGATACTGACCACTATATTTTTTTTTTTTTTTTTATTATAGAAGTGTACATTTGGTACATACCGGCCACATGGCCAGGTCAGTGATTGCATACACTACTAGGCATGCACACTACTAAAATAATACACGAAACATTTCGAGCCGACAAAGAGAAAAAGACAAACAAACAAACAACAGAACACTTGGTCCCACCCTCTTTCTATAATCTTTCTTTCCAGGGCGGTTGTGCGTTGCGGGCAACGACGCTTTTTTTAATTTGTTGTTTTATCTGGAGCCAGGCGTGGTTGACATCGTCTGGTACTGTGCTAACTGCGCTCAGTGTCCACTCTGCTCTCTCCCGAAACAACTGCCACGCGGTTTTCCGCACAGGCGCTGCCTCCACATGTAATGTCCGGCACAACCAAAGCACGTGAAGGGCTATCGCAACCAACGACTCAAATTCGACTCCCCGTTCCTCACCAAAGTACAAAAACTTGAGCGATTCCCAGCTTGGCTCATAATTACATTCAAAAATATAGCGAAAATCCGCCCAGAAACAGAATCCTTACAATCCATAAACACATGAAGGAGCGTTTCCCGCTCACCACAGAAACTGCAGTTTGTTCCGATTGGAAGGTAGAAGCCCTTGTTTTCTAACCAAGTTTTCACTGGCAGGGTTTCTGTGTGAAAACGAATGAAAAAGTTTTTGGTTTTGGGAGAAACAGGGAGGCTGCGCAATCGCCTCAGGACGTCTTTTCCAGCTGATGATTCGAGTCCATTTCTGTACAAAGGAGCTGGAAACATGCTGCTGACTGTGTCCCAATAGAGTTTTTTCTTTTTAACTTGCTGGAGATACTCCCACGAGTACCTTGATTCAAAGAATTTGATTGCTTCCGCAATTTCTTTGTAGAACCGTAGGCACTTAGCTGCTTTCGGTTGCTCCGATGTGCCAACCACCCACTGACTAAGGTACGCACTCCCGAGGCTCTGGAATGACCACCGCGTGATCGCATCACTCGAGTCTCTAAACAAAAGGAACCGACTTATTTTAACTTTGAGGGCCACGTGCACCAAGGCGAATCCCCCAGCCTGAAGGCTAAGAAAGAGATTTGTGCGCCTCGTTTTCTCCATTGGCGACTGCCAAACAAATGTTGCGAAGAGCCGATGGGCCTTGGACACCGTGCTGGCGTCGATTGGAATAGCCTGGGCCGCGTACATCAAACTTGGAAAGGGAACAGTGTTACACACAAAGCTTCTCTGGATAAGATGGATTTGTCTCGTGCGCCATGGCAGCAGCGACGCTCTCATCTTCTGGAGTTTGACCGACCACGTTACATGGCTAGGAGGTGTCAACGTGAGAGGCACGCCAAGGTACTTTTCCAGGGAGGACGACCACTTCATCCCTAACACACTTGAAGGCTTGCAGACCCAGTTACCCAGCCACGTACCTGTAGATTTGGTTAGGTTAAGACGAGCTCCCGATACGGCACAGAACTCTCGAATTATGTCCAAAGCCCTCAAAAGCTCCTTCTCTTCGGAAAAAATAATAGAAACATCGTCTGCGAATGCCAGGATTTTTAGTTGTTTAGTTGGCAGTTGAAGCCCTCGAATTCCTTCATCCGTTTTGATAGCCTTGCACAGTGGCTCCAAATACAGCGCAAATAGCAGTGGGGACAGCGGGCACCCCTGCCTGACAGACGATTGTACACTTATCTTTCCCGTTTTTTTTTCCATTTACTACTATCTTGGTGGATATGTCGTTGTAGCACAGGCGCACCCAATCGGAAAGAACGTCGCCTACGTTGATGCGTTTTAGGATTCTGAACAATAATTCATGGTCCACCCGGTCGAAAGCACGACTCAGGTCAATTTGAAGGACCGCAAGGGGCGTGTTGAACGCTTCTGCCGCTTCGCATACTGTTCGCATGGCGTGGAGGTTGTGCGCGATTGACCGCGACTTGATCGCATAGGTCTGGTGATCTCCGACCACTTCCGCGATACCTCTCTCCAGCCTTCGAGCTAAGATTCTCGTCAAAACTTTATAGTCTGTACACAAGAGACTTATTGGCCTAAAATTGCTTACTGAAGGTATGTCATTGCCGGAATGCGGCTTGGGAATGAGCACCAAAAGGGACTGGCGCATGGTGGGTGGTAAGAGCTTTCTTTTGAATATGTCTTTGAACACTTTCTGTAGGAGAGGTGCCAACTGGTCTAGAAACTTCTTATAAAATGCCGAACCTATGCCATCGGGCCCGGGTGACTTGTTTGACGGCATTTTTCGGATTGCCCACCGAATTTCGCTTTCTACAATTTCAGTGTTAGTACGTTCGCGTACTTCTTCGCTTACTTCCTTTTGAAGCTGTTGTAGCATGCTTTCCGCAAGACGGCCATCGCAGGCGTATTTCTTTTGAAACGTTCGAACATATTCCTCGTAAAACAAGTCTTCAATTTCCTCCTGTGTGGAAAAGCTCTGTCCGTTTTCGTCTCTTATCTGCCGGATAGTGTTGCACTTGATTCTTTGCTTCTCAAAGAACTGAAAAAGCTTTGAAGGTTGTTCATCTCGCTCGACCAGTTTTTCCCGGCTCCTCACCACAGCTCCCATGTACCTTTCTTTCATCAGAGTCAAGAGCTCGCATTTTATGGCTTTTATGTCTTCTCTAAAATTTCCAGGCGATGAGTCGTCTGCCGCAATGAGAGTTTTTAAATTATGCAACAGTTCTTTTTTCTTTAAATTTTTTTCCCTGGCCTTTCTTTCCCCATATGACATGGCTTCACTTTTCACTTCCGCTTTCAAAATCTCCCAGCTTACAGCATCAAAAACCGAGTTTTCGGCTGCTAACCGCAGTTTTTCCTTTATGATGGTTGAAAACTCGTCATCTTCCAGGAGGCTCTCGTTTAGCTTCCAGTGACCGCTAGTATGCGGAGTTGAAAGATGGCTTGTGCCAGCCCTCCACTCAAAAGTTACTAAGCCGTGGTCTGAGAAAGGAACAGGTGAAACATCGTAGCGGGCGTCTTTGAATTCGAATTCGTCCGATATATAAATTCGGTCCAAGCGCGCGCTGGAATCACCCTGCCAGTGGGTGTAGCGTTGCGTGTTGTTAGGACGCGCAAGTTCAATTACATCTATTAGATTGTTTTCCTTTAAAACCGAACGCAGAACTTTCACACTATTATCTGCCTGTGCCCGCCTAGGAAAGCGATCTTCGGAGCTTTCAACACAATTGAAATCCCCAGCTAGAATGACCTTCGCTGGCGTATCAACTACCGAGTTAATCAGCTCAAAAAAACTTTTCCGCTCGCTCATGTTGTTTGGCGCGTACAAGCATATCACCCTTATCAAAGTGTTCGCTAAAATGCAGTCGACATAGCTGATTCTGCCGCAATCGTCATGTCCTATATCAGGGCATACTCTCAAGAAATGCTTCCTGCGAACGAACACCGCGCATCCGCCGCTCTTTCCGCTCGAGTGCGAAACAAAAACCTGATAATGTCTCTTGAAAAATTCACGCGTGCTTTCTTCTTGCTCCCTTGTTTCGATTTTAGTTTCTTGGACACAGGCTAAATCGATCCGCTTTTCTAGCAACAAATCTAAAAGCCATTGCTTCCGCATGGAAGCGACGAGACTTACTACATTAATCGTACCAACGACTGTCATGATTAAGTTGTGGGATAGCCCATCCCGCCTGCCCGGGGTGCACAATAAGCCTTTTAGAGTGTGAGCTAGCAAACAAATCGGCCAATTTTTCCTACCGGTTGACGTATTTCTGGGAAGTCCTGGTTTGGGATCACGGGGTGTTCAGGGCAGATGCGTTGTCAAGAGACGACGCTCCGACTTCGACCGGCTTAAGGGAAGATGGAACAGTGTCCGTTTTTTTCCATCGCTTGCCACTCACGATGGTGTAGCGTTGGTCGGCTGCGTTGTTTCGCACGGTTTCCTTCACCTTGCGCTTGATGGTCGTTTCGCTGCTCGAGGCCTCTCCGAGCTCCATCTTGTCGTCGACCGGTACCGGAGCCTGGGGCTCCGGCTGCGTTTGCAGGACGGCTTGTTCAGAGTGAGGTGTGGCGTGGTCGTCCTGGAGTGGAGCCTGTCGCTCCAGCTGCTGCTCCGGTTGCTGTTGGGAAGGTGGGTGCGTGGCCACAGAGGATGCGTTGATTGAAGCCTCCTGACCTCCCGGAGTCCCCGAGTTCTCGGGGCCGCCAGAGATGCCCGTCTCGTCCATGTCGCCCTGATCCATGTAGTGCTCGAACTCGTCCTCTTGAACTGCCATTCTCGTTCTGGACGCGTAGCTCTGGACGCAGTCGTCCTCCTCGTGCCCGAACGTGCGGCACACTTTGCACCATGGCGTCCGGCATTGTTTCCGCAAATGTCCAACCTTCCGGCATCGGAGACACAATGGTGGCCGACCTGGAATTGACACCAACGCAGGGCCTCCCATGACGGTGACTTGGTGGGGGATGGAATCCACCGTGTTGCCTTCCTTCAGTTCGATCGTTACGGTTCTGGTCGTTGTCTCTATTTCTTCAAAACCAGGTCGGCGCCATTTGTCCCTCGCGACTTTCTTCACTTTGCCGTAACTGGTGAACGCTTGCACGACTGCTTCATCCGGAACGTTCGTAGGCAGCCAGTGTACCTTGAAGGTCTTCTCCCTGGTGTTGGGGTCGATGACGACGCACGTTTTTGCCTTGATGACGAGTTGCCGCACTTTCACCATTTTTTCCTTCGCCAACATGTTGTGTAGAGTGAGTATCCAGACGTGATTATATTGGTAAGCACCAAACCCGGCAATGTCCTTGAGGTTGATGGCTGACTTCAGTGCGCCGGCGAAGTCGTCGATTTTATAGGGTCTCCCCGACGGGTCGCAGTGCAAAATGACAGCATTAAAAGAAGACCGACCTGTTGGCAGCGTGGGCAGAAGCATCCTGTATTCCTGATGGGCGTTGTTTCCTGGCTGAACAGTTGATTCCCGGCTAGTGCTAGCCGTTATCGCCGCTCCGACGGAGCTCATGATAAGACGTCCGTCGCGCTCGGCAGCCGGAAGTCGAATCATACTGACCACTATACTAACGAGGAGAGACGGGAATAGCGGGATGGGAACTCTACCGCAGCATGGACTTTTCAATATAGTAAAAAAAAATGTGGGGTAAAAAAAAAAATGATGCTCCCCGTCGGGGAATCGAACCCCGGTCTCCCGCGTGACAGGCGGGGATACTGACCACTATACTAACGAGGAGTTTTTTTTTTTTTTTTTCTTTATTGCAACTGGAACAGCACATGTCAGTTCAATTTAAAAAAGCGCTGCAAGTCTTCTGCAGGGCACGTTAAAAGGCTCTCATTTCTAAAAGAGATTTACAAAGACCTAGCCACCCGGGCTTAGGCTCGCGCGTAGAAAAAACACTCTCAACTTGCTTTACTAGTGAGAAAAAATAGAAGCGTACTTCTTTGACATTGGGGTCGGCATGCCTTACTGCCATGCGCGAGCGCCAAATACTACAAAGGCCCAAAAGAAAAAACATGTCAAAAGGCACACAGTCGTCATTCGTCACGTCCAAGAAACGAATACCTGATGGGGTGACTCGCAGCTCTTTCTTTAGCGTGCGCTGAAGCACATCCCAGAAAAAGACCGCATCCATGCAAAAAATGAAAACATGCTCAATAGTTTCAGGTTGCTTGCATAAAAGGCAATCGACCGTCCACGGGACATCAATACCCTTTTCCCTTAGCCACACCTTGACCGGCAACGTATTGGTGTGTAGCTTAAAAAAAAACGTTTTCACTGAATGTGGTACGCACATACGCTTCACTCGATTTAACACATCGTGGCCGCCATTACAGAAAAGTGTTCGATACATTGGTGTCGGGAACAAACTGACCACCAAATCGCGCGCGAGCGCTTTCTTGCTCACTAGAGACAAGTACTCCAAAGAAAAACGTGCAGACAAAAAGCGAACTGATTCAACAACCTCCTTTTGAAATCCCACGAGTCTTGTTGGCTCGACGCCGCAAGAGGAAACAAGAAAGGATGGCAAATGAGGAGACAGTTTTGTCTGGATGACGGTGCGGATGAACGGTTGCTCCTGGTCTCGCAGAAAAAAGAAACGCGATACTAGCTGTTTAACAAACAAATGGGACA